AATATCCCATATTTATACATTATAGACATGCACTGGTCCCAACTTTGCTGCCCCCCTTTTCCAGTTTCACTTTGTTTTTTACACATTCCCATCAATATCTTTTCTTGATCATGTGCTTAAATCATTTTCATGGATATTCAATTATTTGCATGAGAAGTGGAAGAATTAAGGAAGAGGAGCATCAATGCAAAAAAGGTTAAAAAACCATGGAGAATAGAGGCAGGGCCTGTGGCTCAAAGGAGTAGAACACTGGTCCCACATGTTGGAGATGGCGGGTTCAAACCCAGCCTCGGCCAAAAAAAAAAGAAAAAGACATGGAGAATATATAATATGATCACATATTCTGAAGATGTAGTGATGGTCACAAGCCAGGGGAGAAGGTTTTCCTGCTGAATCGCTGACTTGGCCGCCTCCTCTCTAACTGCCTAAAGGCCACTTTCCTTTTGTCACATTTAGAAAAAGTGTTTTCTATAATTTGTCCCCCCCAAACAGAGTTGGTGCCAGGTTGGAATACATGTCAACTTGTACACCTCACTTTCTCCCTCAATAAAGTCACATTTCAGAAGTCAGACTGTGGCCAGCTGACTACAGAGAACGAACACACACACACACACACACACACACACACACATCCCATCATAAGAAGCCTATGTTGCTTGATTCCTGGAAGCTGTCTCCCAACACAGCAGAGCACCAGATCTGAAAGATCTTGCAATCTGTGCGGAAGGGTAGTAAGGAGCTAGAGGAGGTGATGCCAAGTGTACAAACGTAATGTTGGGATATATAATCTACCTAGAGTGGGTTTAAAACATGATGTACACACACACATAGAATTAAACGCACCCCATTGGTAGTACTGTCTGCAAAAGGCATAAAGATATAGGGTGGAGATAAAGAAGAGGATGGATAGGAAAGAGTTCAGGACCCCGTGCAAACCTGAAAGGAACAGAGGCAGTGCGAGGGTCTGAGAGTGAAAATAAATTCTGGAAGCAACAGCCCCACGCACCACAAGTCTTTCCCCTCTCTAAACTGGAACATTTTCTCCAGGGGACTATCAGTTGAATGATGCCCAATTGGTAGCCGGTCGGGCTTGTAATGCCTGTATTGTTTAAGGCCTCATGTGTAGAAACACGATCCACTCTTGGTCATGGCCGCAGTGCTTCCATTATCTTATAGAAGAAATGATTGCTGCAAATGGTTCCAGCGAGGTGTGACCTGCTTAAGGGAAAGAAGCCAGGTTTCCTGCCCTGTTAGTGCGGGAGGAAGAGACTTGTCAGGATGTGAATTGGGTAGGCGAGAAGGAAAAGCGGAGAAAAGAACCTCGTAATTTCCTCCCTCAGAGATGGGAGAGAAGGGTGATAGCATCCGAAGCTTGGAGAGAAAAGACCCAGGGCACGTCCAGCATTCCCGCGGTCACCTGGCGTCTCTTCAGAAGCCCCTGTTCTCTTGTCTTGACCTGCCATTGCACTTGAACTCGACATCCTCACGAGGTTGGGCTGGGAAGGCCAAGTCAGCACGGTGGGTATTGCTTCCCCTAAAATGACAACTCAGCAGCAGGTCAGCCCGGGTGTGCGCGTGTGAACGCCGGAGTCTGCGTGCGCGGTGGCCGCGGCCGCGCTGCCCGGGAGCCGCCCTCGGAGCGCCCCGCCCCCGCCCAGCCCCCTCCCCCTATAAAGGCCGCGCGCGTCGCCGCCCTCCGCACAGCCTGGGAGCGTGGCCTGCCGGGGAGGTGGTTCCAGGGCTCCACACACAGTCGCACTCCGCGCACTCACACACTTGGAAGCGCCTCCCCACGTCCCTCCTCTGCCCTCCTCTTGCTCGGCTCCTCTTTGCCTCACCACAAATAGTCGCGGACCCGCCGCCAAGCCGCCTCTGTGGCGCTCCCCGCTCTACCATGACTGACTGGGAAGCGCTGGCTCGAGCAGAGCCGCGCCGCTGGCGCAGGCAGGAGGATTATTAAATAACGCAGCTCGACTCCGCAACTGGGAGTGGAGAGAGGAGCCCAACAGCCAAGACGGGGAGGGAGGGCAGAGGACGGGGACCAGGAAGGACACCCCCTGTCCCCCGAAGACAAAATCCCCGAGTGCCCGGGAGGAGCCTTAACAAGCGGCGCGGAGCCCTCCAGGTAGTAACGCCCCCGGGGCCCCCGCGCCCGGCGAGTCGCGCGTCGCGTAGCCGCTGCCCGGGGCCGGCCCGGGCGGACGCGGGGGTGACCGCCCCGGCAGGTGACCGCGTCGCGTCCGGGCCGTCCGCGAGCGGCCCCCACCCAGGCCCGGGGCGCGGGCCGTGGGCCCGGCGTGCTCGGCGCGGAGCCCTGGCCTTGCGGGCGGGGCGGGAAGGACGTGGACGGCTCGCTGGCCCCGGCCCGCGACTCCCGCTGCGCTGCGTGGCCGCTGCTTCCGCGCCCTGCGTGGTTCCCTCCCGCGGTCGCGGCGGCCGCTCCAGGGCGATGCGGAGCGCGGCCGGTCGGGGAGGCAGGAGTTGGCGCAGGCTTCGTGCCGCTGCCCTCCCGCGCCGCTCGCGCCCCGCAGGTAGGGGCGGGCGGTCAGCGCTGCGCCCGGGCTGCGGGCTCCGGGGCGGGGACGGCGGCGAGCGGGCAGGGGAGGAGGGGGCGGGGAGCCCGGGGCTCCCGGCGGAGCCGCAGTGCCGGGCCGGACCGCCTCCAGCCCTGCCTGCCTGTGCTCTGGCGCCGGCTCCGTGTTGGAAGGGAGACCTACCCGAGGCAGCAGGGATAGCAGCGACTTCGAGTGAACAAATTGCTTTGTGGAGGCGCGTCCAGGGCTCCGTGTGTGTGTGCGTGTGTGTGTGTGTGTTCGCGCTCGGGACTGATCTGTGCATTGGTTCACCTGAGTAGAAAGTCTGCCCTGAGCTGAAACCGCAGGTGGCCCTCTGGTCCCTTCATCTTTTGGCTTGTGTCCCAGGGATTCGTACACACGGTGCCAGCAAGGGGTAGGGGTGACGGAGGGATTTGTGAATGGTGCTGCTCTGTGCGTGGAGGCTGAGCCTTGCTGATGTAGAGGAGGAGGTATCCAGAGTGAGAAGAAAGGCTATTTATGGCAAAGAGTTGTGAAATTTCTTGGGGTTTCCTTCAGTGTATCCTGAGCTGCTCCCTCAGTTCTCATGTTCTCTCTCTCTCTCTCTCTCTTCATGTTCGCTCTCTCCCCTCTCTCCCCTCTCTCACCGCTCTCAGAATTAGAAGCTATTCTGCTCCACCCCCCCCCCCCGGAATCTGGAATAGGAAATGAACTAAGAAAAGCACTCTTTTTATTACAAGCAGAAAAAAAAATGCTTCTTAGAAGTTACAGATTCCCTGCTTTTTATGTTTTTTTGTCCCCATTCTGTGCTCTTCTTAGGTCTCCAGGCCCTCAATAGGACTTACAGGACATAATACCTACTTGGTTTCAACTGCTTTCATTTTTGAAATCTTTACAGTTGACTATTTTGCTACTGAAATGTGACACAGCCTCCATCCCCCCCCATTAAAAATAATGTACACACATAATTTAATGCTGATTTTATTGGAAGCCTTGGGGAGAAGAAGACTCACTCATAGGTGGGTCTGCTACTACCGATTCTTTTAAACACTGGTTATTAAACAAAATAGAACACTTGTTATCCAGGTTACAACCTAAGTAGTTGTTTTGCTTTCACTTCTGTTCACTTTGTAACAGGTACAAATTCCAAAGACATAACTTGACACTTAAAGATGACTGGGGATGCTGTTGATCAGGATGCTTTAACAATGAACGTTTGTCTTTAAAAGTAGCAACCTGTGCTTTTATAGAATGGATGACTGGGTTGTACTAGTACAATGGTGTTCTTAATCTTTTAAACGAGATGTCTCTAAGTGCCTACCAACACAATGTTTTTAAAACATTAAAATTCCATGATGTAACCACCCTTTCAATAATCTCATTGAGAAGAAAGAGAAGTAAACTGATCAAACTATTATCAGCGTGATCTGCCTTCATTTAAGATTGCTTAAGGAAGTCCTTATTTTAATCAAACCGGTTTTCACCCCCAGGTTGATTGTAGTTCCTTAACAGCCCTGCTTATTTGAAAGACAAAAGTGGGGTTAAGGATTTGATCTTTTGATTTAGTTAGAGTCACATTAGTTTAAAATAGATTTTTAGCATTGGCTCATGTGCAGCTTTTTATGGTAGGTCAGAACTTAGAAGGAGAATCCTACTCTGAGGGTTGTCACCTTAACTGTACTGAACCATTGGAATGGAGAGAAAATGGGGAATTAAAAAATGTAACTGATAAGCTTGGCACCTGTAGCACAGTGGTTATAGAGCTGGCCACATACACCCAGGCTGCAGGGTTTCAGCCTGGCCTGGGCCAGCTAAACAACAATGACAAGTGCAACAACAACAACAAAAATAGCTGGGCGTTGTGGCCGGTGCCTGTAGTCCCAGCTATTTGGGAGGCTGAGATAAGAGAATTGCTTAAGTCCAAGAGTTTGAGGTTGCTGTGAGCTGTGATGCGACAGCACTCTACTGAGGGCAACATAGTGATACTGTGTCCAAAAAAAAAAAAAAAATGTAACTGATGGACTATAGCATTTCAGTTGTTAAAAGTCATATTTGTGAGTATTTTGTTCTTTGACACTGTCAGTGAATCCAGCAACACTTTATTATATAAGGATATTACACCACATGATATTAATTTACATCAAATTCTTGAAGTAGAAAATGAAAAACTTATATTTTTATAATAATAGTTATTCAACTCTATTGAATTTCATTACTTATTGTAATACTCATAATAAAGGACCTGTCATGTGCAAGGTACTGTCCAGACCTTGTAGAGAAACACAAGATTCCCCTGTTCCCTATTTTTCGAGAATTTACTTGCAATTGAAAGGACTCTGCCTGTCGTGCTTGAACATAGAGTTCATAGCCCATGACAGTGAAAGTCTAATGAATACTACAGGAGTTCAGGCCATGACAATAACGCTTCATACTGGATTTTGTTTGAAAAGGCTTCAGGGGGTAGGTAAGACAGGCTTGGTGTTGATCTTAAAGAGTAAGTAGGATTAGTGGATTGTGAGATTGTGGATAAGATGGAAATATAAAGCGTAAGATGCAAGCCTCCTGGAATTATAGAAAAGAAGACATGAGGGAGGATAGGTTTGTTCTGAAATAGATTTAGATACCATGCCAAGTGCAGGGTAAGTTTGTTTTTGATGCTCATCTTTTGTGCATTCTGTTCTTGGAGTTCATTGTCAGTTCATTTTTGTACCCAAGAAAACAAATCTTACGTTTATATTGCCTTTTAATAAACAATATGTACTTGCACTGCTATAATTGTATGTTACAGTAGTTACAGAGAATATGTACTCTAAATATTTGAATATAGCTACCTCACACTACGGTGTTGAGTTTGGTAGTGATAACAAGGTGATGCATGTGCAGTCTCTTTATTGCAAGGTGTTTTTGGTACTTCTCTAATCAAATCTTTTTGGGTTTGCTCTAAGGAAGTAGTGTAATGATGTGCAAAACAGCAACAGTATTTATTTAGCATTCATTGAATGCTTACCATTTTATTCTTCATATAAAATGTATAACCCACTAAATATATTTTCTGTAATACTTTTAAGTTGCTAGAGTTTTTAGATTTAATAGATTAGATTTTATTTAAAGCTATTATACATATGCATCAACATAATAGTTCATCTATCTTTGCATTATTTGGCATGGATATAGAGCTATGATACTGGGCTTGTGGGGAACTTTTTAGAATTGTTGCAAAAATTTTAAGGATACTTTAACTAGCTTCTGGTAACTAAATTGTATTGCTAGTAAGAGCATGGCCTGTCCCTATTCTAAACATTTTTTCTTTGTATTTATGTTTGTTATTTGTTTTTGGACAAACACAAAACTGTTTAAAATGCATCTCTTCATCTCAAGAACACAGGGAAAACACCTGAATTGACTTTGAGCCTGTCTATTCAATATTACACCCCAGAAGCATGTTATGGTGACAGTAAAGAAATCGTACAAATATTACATACGACTTTCAATAAATAAACAGATGAAATTCTTTCAGATTAGTTGAATTAAAATAGTTTCACACATATATATTTTTTGACAGTGAATAGATAAGAGTTATCACAAAAGTGAAAGCACCAATTTCCTGCAAAAATGGAATGCTTTCCAATGTAGTCAGGGTACAACCGGACCTGTTAATGGGTTCCTTTTGAGTTTGCTTTTTGCCTGTGTCACAGGTTATCACTTTGATAATGTAATCTTTGCTACTGTATGACTGACAGTGTCTGTGTGATTTCCCTATTGGGTAGTGACAAAATCTGCTTTATACTGAGGACATGCACCTCTATCAGCAATATTATCTTCATTACACAGGAGTGTCAGTTAACAATAAATCATGAAGTCTGGAGTGGGAGAACAAGTGAGAAAAGACGAGATTGAGGAAAAAACACTGTAACAACAACATGTATCACTATGAAGCTTCAACTAAATATGGAATTGTAAAGCTGACCACTCTAAACTATAATTGATACGGTCCCAAGATATTGTTAGGAGTCTTATTTTAAATAACCGCATTGTGTTTCAAGTTGTTTCCATGTGGGCTAAATTAAAAATGTTTACTGGGGCCTTTCGTATGATATTAAAAATTGTTAAAATATTTGTGCTTAAATCATTGATAATGAAGTTGTTTGACCAGATTCCTAGCCCTATATTTAAATTTACTTAAAGTATAGCTCTTGGTTTTGCCTTATCGTCCATTAAACATTTTAGATTGTAGTTAAACTTATTATAATTTTAGAATTTTTTAACTATGTCTTGATGTTAAACGCAATCCAGAAGTCTTTTATAAAGAAACATCTTTTTGAATTTTTTATTCGTTTTTCCTTGAGACAGAGTCTCACTCTTTTGCCCTGAGTAGAGTGCAGTGGTGTGATCATAGCTCACAGCCACCTCAAACTCCTGGGCTCAAGTGTCCTCCTGCCTCAGCCTCCCAGGTAACTGGGACGACAGTTGTATGCTACCACACCTGGCACTTTATTTGTATTTTTGATAGAGGTAGGGTCTTGCTCTTGCTCAGCCTGGTTTTGAGCTCAAGTGATCCTTGTGATCCTCTTACCTCAGCCTCCCACAGTGC